AGCGGGGCATGGCGCCTCGGCTCTGGGGAGCTGCCCGCAGGCGGCCGGAGGAGAGGAACGCGTTTGGCTGCGGCGAAGCTGTGGCCCCGTGCGACCGAGGCCGCCTTGTCACCTCATTGTCTGCGAGCTGCGCTGGGCGCTCGGGGGAGCTCCCTGCTCCTAATATTTGCGGGAATAACGGAAACGGGAGAAAATGCTGCAGTTTTGTGATGTGTGCCTCTCTTGCTTTTTACTCTTGCCTAATTATTTCTTGTATTTGTCTGTCTCTCCATGCATGTTGTTTCTTTTCCCGTACTGAAACTGTAAATTCTTGGGGCAGAATCCTGTCTTTATGCAATACCTAATTATGACCAGTTATTACTGAAGTGATACTGTATTGTAAACGTTTTTGTGCAACTATAAATTAATATGTGTAATTATGCTAGGCATAAGAACACGATTATTTTAATTGGGTTTATGTCGATACATAGTTGTTATCACGTAGTAACTAGCTGCCCTTAAAACATAACTGATCACTTTAAGCACTATAGAACATGAGGTAAAAACGAATTTCTGCTCCATAGAGCTTGGAATCAAAATAGAAAAAGATGCAAGATAAGCAGATCAAAGGTACAGGGAGACAAGAAATGTCCAATTTGAACGCCTCACTTCATCAGTTACAGACTGGTGCATTAATATAATCAAAGACACAGAAAATGCAGTTAGTGAGGAAAGACAATTGAATTTATTTTGCCTACAGAGAAGGCAAAGGTTATCATTCCATTAGATCACGGAGTTGGTTATCATCTTCCCTCTGAAAAAGTAGAGGGTCCTGCACCATCTTCTCCTTCATCCCCACCACACTTGCTTAAAATAGGTAATACCATATTGTGTTTAAAGAAAAACAGAGAATGTAGTAGGCAAAAATTGGCAATTTTTCTTTAAGCGGTCTTTCAGGCTTGTTCTGCCTTGCAGAAGCGGTAGAGTTGTACACATCTGGCTCTGTGACTGGTGCCACCACCACAATTTCATGTTTTTTGATAATGGGATGGCCTGCATGGCACCTGGCTTGCTGGCATCATATGGCATTCACCTTTCTCAAGGGGGGAAGAGTGTCTGTGCTCACAAGCTAGTGGGGCTTATTGACAGGGCTTGAAACGAGACTTGAAGAGAGGGGAGGATAATACCAGGCTTACTCATGACAAGCTGTGGGATGGCACACCAGGGTTAGAGGGACAGGGTGCTAGCGAGGCCCCTCAGCCTGTTGCACCAGAGAAGGACCTCAAAGGAAGTAAAGGGTGTTCCTCTAAGAGGATGACACGGCTGACAGCCCAGCTGATCTGCTTCTACACCAATGCATGCAGCATGGGCAACAAGCAGGAGGAGCTGGAAGCCACCATACTGCTAGAAGCTATGACCTGGATGCCATTACTGAAACTTGGTGGGACGAATTCTATGACTGGAGTGTGGCTATCGATGGCTACAGACTGTTCAGAAGGGACAGGTGAGGAAGGAAATGTGGAGGCGTTGCCCTTTACATCAAGAAATGGATGGAGTGTGAAGAGCTGTCTCTGAAGAATAGCTATGAGCAGGTCAAAAGCTTATGGGTCAGAATAAGAGACTGAGGCAACAAAGGGAACCTTGTGGTTGGTGTCTACTACAGGCTGCCTGATCAAGGGGAGTCTATTGATGAAGCCTTCTTACGCCAGCTACAGGAGGCATCACACTCACAGGCTCTCGTCCTGCTGGGGACTTCAGCCACCCTGACATTTGGTGGAAAAGTAGCATGATGAGCTGTAGGCAATCCAGGAGACTTCTGGAGTGCATGGAGGATAACTTCTTAAGCAAGGTAATAGACAGCCCTACCAGAGGGGATGCCCTACTGGACTTGTTGGTCACCAATACAAGTGACTTAATTGGTGATGTCAAGATTTGAGGCAGCCTGGGCTGCAGTGATCATGCACTGGTGGAGTTCGCATTCCTGAGGGATATGGGGCAGGTGAAGAGTAAAGTCAGGACCCTGAATTTTAGGAAAGCAAACTTGCAGCTCTTCAGGGAGTTGGTCAATAGGACCCCCTGGGAAACTGCCCTCGGGGACAAGGGAGCAGAACAGAGCTGGCAGGTCTTTAAGGATGCTTTCCATAAGAGCACAAGAGCTCTTGATCCCCAGGTGTAAGAAATCAGGAAAGGAAGGCAAGAGACCAGCATGGCTGAGTCGAGACTTGCTGGTCAAGCTAAAGGGCAAGAAGGAAATGCACAGGCAGTGGAAGCAGGAACAGGTATCCTGGGAAGAGTACAGGGAAGCTGCCTGATTGTGTAGGGGTGAGGTCAAGAAGGCCAAGGCGTGGCTGCAGCTGAACTTGGCAAGGGATGCAAAGAATAACATGAAGGGCTTCTACATGTCAGCCAGAAAAGGAAGGTCAAAGAAAGTGTAAGCCCCGGATGAGCAAGACTGGCAGATGGGTAACAACAGACGAGGAAAAGACTGAGATGTTCAACAACTTCTTTGCCTCAGCCTTTACTGGCAGTCTCTCTTCCCACACCTCTATATTCTATATTCTATATTCTTTTTCTATATTCTATATTCTTTTTACAAAACATATCTCGTATATAACCATACTTCTGTTAGAAACCTTTATCAAGAACAGTTTGCATGATCAGGTCTTCAAATTTGAAATTTTTCTTGTGTGGCAATAGGTCTGCTTGCTTAACATAGTACTGCAGATCATGAGCAGTATGAGTCCTTAAATTAGCATTGCTTCAAAATTCAACTAAGTGCCTACAGAATAACTACATTTTTTCCTTTTAATATTTAGTTATGGGTGATGATTCAGTACCATTCCTTTTTTTTTGACCAAGGAACCACTAAAACTTATCAAATACCTATTGGTCACCTGGACTACAAGTTCATTGAAAAATGCACAGATGTTAAACATCTCGAAAAGATTCACAGGGTTTTAAGGTAAACATATTTTCCTAATTTCATAACTAATTATGTTCCTGTTCTGTAAAATTCAAAGGAACCTAAATACTATTTGTCTTGAAGCTCTTTGTGACTTTCTAATTTAAAAATTAAAATAGAAAGTTAAACTAATCATGTTATAAGTGTCCAAATGATAACGCTAGAAATCCAAGTCCTGTTTTAACCATCCAAAAGGTTTGAGTAACTCAGTGCTAGGTTTTTCTCAAATGCTGCCACTGGATTTTGGTTCTGTCATGAAGCCATCTTACCTGACTGTGGTAATTTCAGCCTGTTTAACTTTTGCTGAAAATGACATGAGCTTTTTTTTTTATGGGCACTGTGATAATAATTTTGAACTCTGTGTGTGTGTCCATTGGAAAGTGGTTGAAGGTTGACTCACTGGAGTTTTCTGATGAAATTGTATTGGGTGATAGTAGAGTCAAGTTGTAACAGGGAAGTCCTCCTCTGCAGTCACTGTGGTGACTACACAGAGACTACGAGTGGGGAGAAATCTGGAGGATCCAACGCAGTTGAGTTCTTTTTTGTAACTTTTATATCTTTGCATTTTAAAGGTCTGGTGAAGAGGGATGTTATCCTGAACTTACATTGTTTTGTGAAAAGCGTATTGAGCATTTAGATCCAAGGAGCAGAGCTCTGAGAAAAGATAAGCCTGCAGCCACAGCTTCTGACTTCACAGCTGAAGAATGGGAAACAATTAATGGTGAACTGATGGTACAGTATAACTGTAATTTATAATGGTCAGTAATATAATCACTTTGATGTATCAATCTTCCTCTTGTGCCTAAGTAGAATGTAATTGTTTGATTAAATGAGGAAGTGATCAAAGGATTATGTTGTTGATTTTTTTTATTATTTTTGTGAATTAACATTACTGAATTTTTAATGCCCATTTTAATTCTACAGATCTTTTTTCTGTAGATTACTTTTTATTCAAAAAAGCACAATTGCTCTTTGTCTTAATTGCTTTTCCCCATTAAGAGCAGTGCATTTTACAGATAGTTGTTAGGGTCATTGTAGGCTATGAAGTATAGCTGCTCTACTGCTTTAAGGTACAGATATATTATTTATTTATTTTCAGAGCTGGGTGACAGAAATGAATGAAGATTATAAGAAACCACAGTTCCTGAGAGCAGACACACTGCATGAAAGACAAGATAACTTGCCTCCTATTCGTTTTTCCAGCAGCTGCCTTCCTGCTAAGCAGGTATCTCCAGTTTTCTAATGTATGTTAATTATATGTCTGTCTAAAACTGGGAAATTTTATATGTACAAACCTCTAGTCATTGAGCCTTTCTTACTAGATGTATTTTGTTAACGAGAAAATAGAAACCTTTATGTTCCTTTGCAAGAGACCAACGCTTAAACAAAAGTGCTTCCTTAGTACTAGCATGTGTCTTGTAATAATGTTTTAATTCTGATCAAGAATTGACTTCTGGAGCAAATCTCCTTAAACACCCTTTTCTGTTCATTGATTCACATTTCCAATTGGTGTTTAAGCATATGAACCAGGTTCCTTTTGGATGAAATTATGCCAGAAGGCTTTTGTTCCATGAGTCCAGACAAGAGCTAATCCAAGATAAATACCCTAAAACACATACAGTGTGGATGTTGGACCCTCTGCACCAACTGTTTCACTCTATAGCCACTTTTATATTGGGTTGCACTGGTGTATATGTAGCCTTTGATTCCCCTTGTTGTATACCTTGAGTTGGTATTTCACCTTTAGCCATAAAGCATACTTCCTAATTTAGCCATGAAGCATACTTAACAAATCTTCAAAACTACAGCATAAACATTCACCTTTTTTCCTAGGAATTAGTTTCCTCGTGTTTTTTTTTTTTCTCCATTTATTTATCTGCCTGAAATCTGTTTTGTCTGTGACCAGCTTTTCTTACTAATACTAAATGTAGTGCTATTGGAGAGATTGGGAGAAAAGTAGGTGTGGGATGGGTTTGTTTTGAATTGTCAGGTGTTAATCATAGAATAGTTTGTGTTGGAAGGAACCTTTAAAGGTCACCTAGAGCAAGCCCCCTGCAATGAGCAGGGACATCTTCAACTACACCAGGTTGCTCAGAGCCCCGCCTGACCTGACCTGGAATGTTTCCAGGGATGGGGCATCTACCACCTCTCTGGGCAACCTGGTCCACTGTTTCACCACCCTCACTGGGAAACATTTCTTCCTTCTATCTAGTCTAAATCTGCCCTCTTTTAGTTTAAAACTGTTACCCCTTGTCTGGTGGCAACAGGCGCTGTTAAAAAGTCTGTCCCCATCTTTCTTAAAAGTCCCCTTTGAGTACTGGAAGGCTGCAATAAGGTCTCCCCGGAGCCTTCTCTTCTCCAGGCTGAACAACCCCCACTCTCTCAGTTTTTCCTCACAGCAGAGCTGTTCCATCCCTCTGATCATTTCTGTGACCCTCCTGTTCACCCACTCCAACAGGTCCATGTCTTTCCTGTGCCGAGGGCTCCAGAGCTGGACGCAGGACACCAGGTGGGGTCTCACCAGAATGGAGTAGAGGGGCAGAATCTCCTCCCTCAACCTGCTGGCTACGCTGCTTTGGATGCAGCCCAGGATACGGGTGGCCTTCTGGGCTGTGAGCGCACATTGCCAGCTCACGTCCAGCTTTTCATGGACCAGTACCTGCAAGTCCTTCTCGCAGGGCTGCTCTCAATCCCTTCATCCCCCAGCCTGTATTGATACCTGGAGTTGCCCTGACCCAGGTGCAGGACCCTGCACTTGGCCTTGTTGAACCTTATGAGGTTCACACAGGCCCATTTTCCTAGAGCTTGTCCACATCTCTCTGGATGGCATCCTGTCTGTCAGGCATGTCAACCGCACCACTCAGCTTCGTGTCATCTGCAAACTTGCTGAGGGTGCACTCGATCCCACTGTCTTATGTCATTGATGAAGGTATTAAACAGTACTGGTCCCTATATGGACCCCTGAGGGACACCAGTCATCACCAATCTCCATCTGGACATTGAACCCTTGACCACCACCTTCTGGATGTGACCATCCAACCAATTCCTCATCCCAGTTGTGGGACCCAACAGTCCACCCATCAAATCCATCTCTCGCCAGTTTATAGAGAAGGATGTTGTGGGGGACCATGTCAAAGGCCTTACAGAAGTCCAGATAGACGACATTGGTGGCTTTTCCCTTGTCCACTGCTGTGGTCACTCCATCATAGAAGGCCACTGGGTTGGTCAGGCAGGAATTGCCCAAAGTCTTAGATCACTTCAGCTTAATTCTTCTATTTTCTTTGGAATTCTGGAGCACTGTTATAACAAATCCACTGGTGGACTTTTCTTTTTGGAAGTGAGAAATGTTATGAAAGGATCCTTACAGGTCATGTGATATTTCTTATTAATTGTTAATTTGAGAAATTGTATTGGAATAATTATATATTAGTAAATGCCTGATTTATATTCCTGTGTTGTCAGAAACTACTCCTTATTGTAAGCTTGTGCTTAGACATCAGACCAAGGCAGCTGGGATAACTAGGCACTCCCCATTATGTGGTATACAAAGAGGCCAGGAATTCCAGTGTAATGCTTTATAAGTGGTTAGTATTGAGGCTAAACTGTGCTTTTTTTTTTACTTTGTTTCTTTGTTTTTCATTAATCTGTCCTCTTTCACATTTTGCAATATATGTTCCTCTTGGCTATCCTATTTTGCTGAGATGAAGAGTACCACTGTAGCTTTACTCTTGATTTATGTTGTGTATAAGTGTTTCCTACAACAGAAAATAGTAAATAAAATACCATGTGAACTCAGTGCATCCTTATTAGAGTATAAGCATAAAATGGTGGAAGGTGGCTTGAAATCTAGGTTATACAGTTTTACTAAAGAGGATGTGTTCTTCATTGAAAGACAAAATATTTACTCAGATTTTTCTTCTCCTACTTTAAACCATGCAACAGTCTTCAGATCAAGTTTTTACCGCTTTTGTTCTCCATACAAGGTTTAGGTACTAGCATTATTACCCAGGAAACCTAGACAGAGCTTTATGCTATATCTGTGGTATATGATTTCCATCCCTTCTGTACAAGCAAACGGCCTCTGAAGTAATTGTAACCTGTGCTGGAAGAGAGAAGGGAGGCCTGAAATTGAGTTTTAGAGTTTAATCTTTTTATGTAGCACTGCAATTATGCCACTGCTAGATCACTACTGAATAAAAATAAGCTGTTTCTATAGTATATGCTAAATTTATATGAATTTATGATAATATGAAATCTCAAGAAAATTAGATTAATATACTTAATCAGTTTTTAATTATTTTTCTTTTTTGCTGATAAAGCTATGTGTAGTGTTACAGTTTTTAAACATGTTTTGCTAATCAATTAGGACTATCATTATTTTTTACACTGGCATCACATAATTTTGTAATGTAGTATGAACTATAAAGTTGGCATGATAAATTTCTCCTCCCTGCTAGAAAGAAATCCACAAACCTTTCCATAATTTCATGTTGTTATTTGGTTGGAGACTGTGTATGTTCATCTGATCTGATGCATAAGAAGTTCAGTATCTTCAGTGAAGCCAATTCTGGAAATCCTTATTGACTCTAAAACAATGGATTGCACCAATGGGTACAATATTGGTAAATGGAAGCATCTTCTTGTGTCTGTAGGCAGATTTTCTTGCTGTAGGTACATTTTTAATTCACTACTAACAGCTTGTAACTCTATATGGTGTTTTCTTCTTATTGATGTGAAGTCATGGGGAAGATTTCCCAAAAATGAATAGATAAAGCATGAACTTTATGCAATATTTCCCTCTTTAACACAATATGGAAGTTTCTGTCTTACACCTCTGTTTTTCTTTCTCACAGCCCAGGACATCGAGGTTACATCTATACTGCAAAATAAAAGAGGACTGGAGAGAGAGCTTGAGTTTTTCTGTTCCTAACTGTCCACATTGCTTAATTATTATTTTTGCTGCCTCACTTTTTCTGGAACTAAAGCATGGGTTTAGAGATACTTCCAAAAGACTGTATAGATGGGATTTCAGCAGATTTAGGTTCCTTTGCCAAAGATAGTTTCCTAATACTATTCCAGAGAGATTTCTGTCCTGAGATACCTCCTCAAGCTACAGTCCAGGGCATGCAACACACATTCCAAATTTTATGTTATAAAAATCCACTGTGATGGGTATATATATCTGTAAAGCTTCATATTATTTCAGATACTCTGAACTAAAAAATACTGGTTAGCTGACATAGAATAGTAATAAAAAAATTACAAGGGCAGAGATTTTTTTTTTTTTTTTCCAGTTCCACAGCATGCAAACATACATTTTTCATCAAAGCCTCTTGGATGAGATGCTCTGAAATATTACTGATTGAGAAATTCCTGACTCTGCTGGAGTCGCAGCTTGGTTACAATGGTCCCAAGAATGTGAGACTTAGAATTTTTAAAATTGTGCATTTTTGAGTCAACACTTCTTCCTTATTCCTTAAAAGGACATACTGTAGTTCTCTCTAAATTAAAGTTGCATTAGCATTAATATCTGTTGTGGTTTCAGCTGGGATAGAGTTAGTTTTCTTCATAGGAGCTAGTGTGAGACTCTGTTTTGGATTTGGAATGAGAAGATGTTGATAATGTACTGATGGGTTGGGTTGTTGCTAAGCAGTCAAGGACTGTCCAGTTTTTCATGCTGGCCTGCCAGTGAGAAGGCTGAGGGTGCACAGGAAGCTGGGAGGGGACACAGCTGGGACAGCTGACCTAGGTTCGCCAAAGGTATATTCCATACCATATGACATCATGCTCAGGATATAAAGCTGGGGGGAAGAAGAAGGAAAGGGGCAGGGGGACACATTCGGAGTTATGGTGTTTGTCTTCCCAAGTAACCCTTACGTGTGATGGAGCCCTGCTTCCCTGGAGATGGCTGAACACCTGCCTGCCGATGGGAAGTGGTGAATGCATTCCATGTTTTGCTTTGATTGCGTGAGTGGCTTTTGCTTTGCCTATTAAACTGTCTTTATCTCAGTCCACGAGTTTTCTCACTTTTAACATTCCAATTCTCTTCCCCCATCCCATCGGGAAGGAGGGAGTGAGCAGCTGTCTGGTGCTTAGTTGCCAGCTGGGGTTAAACCATGACTATACCTTATGAGTTTTCTTCTGAGAGTTTCACTGGTTTTGTCCTCATTTAAGCTAAGGACTTCTGCTTTGAAAAACAGATTTTATAGTTATTAAATTAGTAAGTTTGTAATATACACCAGGATGCATACATAATGATAAGTCTTATTTCAGGAAGCCACATTTAGGAGTTACCTCCTCCAAACATGCGTTGATCACAAAAGGTATTCGTCATTTTGTCTAGCTTCTTGAAAGACTGAGAACATTAAGAGTAATTCTGAAGTTACATACTACAAAAGTTTATGTAACCTAATATTATAGATAGTCAGAAGTGTTTACAGGAAGGGTCACATTTGCATTATGTAAATTGGGTTGTTTACATCCAACTGCAGAAGTATTTCCTTGTTACAGTGTCACCACTGGTAAAGCTAGTTTAAGAGGCTGCTGCTTGTTTCTTTGGTCGTTTATCATATGCTCAGTTGAACTGGTACAGATATTTAGGGATTGCACTGTAATCTCTATCAAATTGTTTGTTTGAACCCAGATAATTGTAAATCTGCAACTCTGTGAACAATTACATTGGTCTAACTCAGTGAGTGATGGATTGCAATGTAAGAGGAGGGATGAACGGCCAGGGCAAAGTAGATGGGGAATATGTTGAACTGGCTGTTCCACTGTGGAATACCTGTTTGGAACCACACCTTGCTATTAATTTTTGTTGAAGTCAACAAGCAGGGAGGGACGTATCAGAAATATAGTCTCATGACAGAGGTAGAAGAGATGCCAAAGGTGCCAGCTATGGAAATAGGTTCCATTAGTGCAGGAGATGGGCTGTGATACAAGTCAATCAGATCTGTTATTGGGACTGATTGTTGCAGGAAGGTCCTAAGGATACGTTTTAGTTAAGGCAAATCTCGGCGATGAAGCTTGTCTAAAAGCTAGAATGAGTGTAAATCATCTCGGGAATTAGCCTGAGTGGAGCGTTAAATAGTCAAAAGAAGTACAGATGCTATTTTGAAGTCAAACAAATTTTTCATTTTTAAGTTCATTATGAGGGTTCCAGGGACTATCAGAATCTGCGCATTGCATTCTCTTGGGAATGGCAAGCCTAAAACAAGGTTATTGATTCAATCTCAGTGTCAAACACCTCATCACAAGGCTGCAGTTGCCCAGACTGAGTTTTCCCTTGCTGTGTTGAAAGGGTGGTTTGGAAAATGGTAGCACAAAATACTAATTACGAAGACCAATCTTGTATCTAAAAGTTTTATTCAGTGCCCCTGTGACATGTGACAGGGCAGTGGAGAGGAAGTGTGAGACTGAAGAGCTCCCCAGATTACAATGACATGTCAAATACATAAAGATTTTCGTTAAAGCAACATGAATTAAGTTTTCAAGACTATGCTGAGATTAGTCATGAATAGTGTTAGTTACTAGGAATATTTATTGCAGAAACAAAACAAAACAAAAAAGGCTGCAAATTTCCACTTTAAACAATTGTCTTACAGGCTGGCTGTTTCTCTTTCAGAATGAAAAGTTACAAAACAAACAAAGAAACATGAAAAACATACCACGGGATTACAGTGAATGGGACAAGTATGTTAAATCCTTTATGTTTTTACTAAATTTTATGTATTTGTTTAATAATGGAACATTATTAAATGTTGTTTTTTAAAGTATTTTCCAGAAACATAGTATTAAGGTCAGTATTTCAGGGAATTATAACACTTCGGTGAAACTTAGTTTTTCCATAATAAATGTTTTGTTAAAATGCAAATGATGCATTGTGGTGCTAACAGCTGAAAACAATTTAGTCTATATTTTTGTTCAAGCTGCATGAAATATAACAAGTTGGCAGAAAATAGAAGTAAACCATGATTTTTTTTCAGGTTGCATTTTTCCTTTCAACATCTAAGCTATAAAATCTATGAAGGTACATAAAACCAAGGGATTAAAATTAGCTTAATTTTTCAGGGGGTTTTTTTGTAAGCACTTCTAGGGTTGTTTAATTTGGGCTTATAAATTTGATCTTCTGTGTATCTGAAGTCACAATTCTAAATTAAAAACAAAATTGATGAATCCTTATTCCTGCACTGAGCCCCATCTTAAGGGCACCTATTTTGAAATGTGGTTAATTTAAAATAAATAGGTAAAAGTAGGCTAGCAAAATAGCTCTCTTTTCCTTTGGTTTATAATGGAAATATAGTATGCCTTCCTATTAGTAGAGTAGTCTTGCTATGCAGCATTATTGAATTTGTTATTTTTATCAATTTAAGGTTCGATGTGGAAAAGGAGTGTTCTAAAATTGATGAAGGCTGTGAAGAAAATAACTCAAAACCAAGATTCTTTAGTAGGCCAAGCCCACCTATAATCGAAAAGAAAATAGACACAGCTGGTAATGTCTTAGAAACATATAATTTTTCTTTAATTGTACTACTGTGTTGTAGAGTGTGAATACAAATTTAAGAAGCATACTATAGAGGTAAAAGTGTCTTTATCTATTTTTCAGCCCCTAGAGATGCTAAAAATTCCTAGGTTAACTGAAGCCATATCTGAAAAAATTCTAGTTTTGGTGTTAATAATCAGTTCAAATATTTATGTTGTGTTTAGGTTGAGCACGATAGGTAAAAGAATACAGCATATTTCTACTATAAACCAACAGTAGAGGTTAGCCAACCACCTTCATCTTGTATTCTGAATTGTATACATATCAGAAGGCTTTAAGTTCTTATAGAAAATAAAATACAGATTTGTCTTTTAGTAAGCCATATTATTTTAAAAAATAATATATACTGACATTCTAACTGTTTTAGCTTACAGTATTTTGATTGCATCTGTGAAAGTTGTTAGTTCTTATGTATAAATTTTTCTTCTAGGCATGACAGAGAAAGAAAAGATTTTTATTGCTACTCGTGAAAAAGAAAAGGGCAATGAAGCCTTTGCCATTGGGGATTATGTGGAAGCAGTGACATATTACAGTCGGTGAGTAAATACTATTGTGTTCTGTTATTTTAATGACCGTTACTTGTGAATATTATTTTTAGAGCAATGTAATTAAAGCAACTTCTTACTGACGCAACTAGTGACAATTAGATTATTTTCAAAAGGGCAAAAAGATTTGACAGAAGAGTACTTAAAGCACTGTTGCATCCTGATACTAGTTTTTATTTATCAGGAAGAGAAGTAGATAAATGGTGATGGGATGCAATCTGCAGATGTCACAAAGATCTTCACATTTTTCAAAACCATTGAGATTCAAGGGCAAGTTTACAAAAATAAAAGGATAAGCAGTGTGTTGAGAAACTAAATTCATTACAAATGAAGTCTAATTAATCATATTGGTAGGATTGTCTCAATTGTTAATAAGTAAAATTGATTTAATAACCTCTTCTTAGGAGAAAGAAAAATCATTGTGTGCAGCTTCATTTTAACACTGTAATTAGTAGCAGTCCAGAAGGAAAGCATACAAACACTGGATTTAAAAAATACGAGACTCTTACAGGTTGCCTGCCTTGTTTAGTGCACAGTGGTCCACATTCAGACTTTGGCTTTATTTATATAAATAGAAGTTGTTGCTACAGGACCTCTGTTGTATTAGTTTCAAAAGTAGAAAAGTTCAAGGTGAATGGAATTAAGCACGACAGGAAGAGGACAGTGTTTCATTTAAGGTATCTGAATGCTACCTTGAAAGAACTAGATTTTTTCTCTACCTTTTCCACAGTGTTCAAACATGACAGCATTTATACAAACGAGGATTTTCACGAGACTAACATTTCTTTCTCATATTCAGATTACCCATCTTGAGACACTAGAGGTCTGACTTGCAAAAGTGCTAACTGCTAACATGCTAACCTAATGTTTAAGGAAACTCAATTTTGTTTTTAACTCTGTGCATTGAAATGATAAAGACTTTAAAAAAAACGGGAGTCCTAGAAGTGTCAAAGTTGTCGCTTAGAAATTGAGAGCATATGGGAATCTTAGTGTATTAATTACTGATGTAAACTGAGGGTAATGATATGGCACTACTGTGAGACGAAGTGTTAAGATAATTCATGGGCTATGATATTATAGTGGGATATCCTCGAAAGAAATTTATGAGGAAGTTAATGTGTCTGTGGTCAGTGCAGATATGTATGGAGAAAATAATGAATAGGAATAAATCGTGTGCAACAGCAATAAAATAATTATCGAACAGATTTATGTTTAGGAAGCACCATTCATACTGTCACTGAAGGAGGCAGGGTTTTGTAGAACAGCTTATGAAAATTTACCTGGAGATTGCTGATGTATATATGTGCACAAAGGTATTGATATTCATAGTGCACAGGTTGTTTAAACTGTGGCATTTGATGTGTACTTTTTGTTCTTGACTTGCAGCCTTAACATCTTTCTTGTTTTTTTTAAATACATGAGCATGAATATAAAAAACATCCATACCTGTATTTCATATACAAAAAATAAAATACAAATCCATCATATAAAAGTAAGTTAAAATCTCTCCTTTTCAGGCATAAATAAGGTATTAATTAATAAGGATAGGCAGAATCCTTCCTAATGGAGAGTCTTTCCATATTTGATCCCCATGAGGCATTGTACACCTTCTGAAATATATGACATTGACACTGCATCCTGTAATAACTGGGCATTTTTCTAATACCATCTGAAAATTTCTATTTTCTTACATTTAGAAATATTTAAATAAAACATATTTTGGAGTGAATTGATAATATCCTGAAGGGGTTATTTGTATATGGCTAAAAAGGGAAAATGAGTAGAGTTCTATATAAAAAAAAATCAGGGTACAGTTATTCATTCTGTTTGTCTTGTAATGAGGCCTACTATTCTAAGCTGAACATAGAGAGTACTTTCTATTTTACAAAAAACCTTAAACCTCTCTCTGATTTCTAAAGAGGTTCAAAACTTTTGCAGAGGATGTGCTCTGACACAGTTCTATTAAGCTGATGTGATTTTAAAATAAATGGATCTTTCCTATTTTTTCTGCATACATCTACTGAAATCACTCTGCTTAGTAATTTCAGTTATACTGCAGAATCATAGAATAATTTAGGTTGGAAGTGACCTCTGAATGATATTTTGTGCAAACCACCTCTCAAAGAAGGGCCAAGTTAGATCAGGCTCAATTAATTGTTCAATTAAGTTTTTAGTATCTCCAAGGATGGAGATTTCACAACCTCTCTGGACAGCCTGTTGCAGTGTTTAACTACCCTTACAGTAATTTTTTTTTCCTAAAACATCATCAGAAATTCCCTTTTTGCAAGTTGTGTCTATTGCCTTTGGTCCTATCAGTGTGCACTTCCGAGAAGGATATAACTCTGTCTTCTCCATGGCTTCCCATTAGGTAACTGAAAATAGCTACAAGGTCTCCCCTGTGCCTTTGCTTCTGCCTGAACGAACCTAGTTATCTCAGACTCTCCCCATAAGTATTGCACGTACTCCAGCCCCCTAACTATCCTCGTGATGCGCTAGACTCACTCCAGGTTGCTGGTGCCTTTTGCGTGTAGGAGAGCCTTAGACTGAGCAAAAGTACTCCACCTGTTGTCTCATAGGTGCTGAAGAGAGGGGAAGAACACTTCCGTCGACCTCCTGGCTATGCTCTTGCTAACACGGCCCAGCATGTGGTATGCTTTCTTTGCCTTGAGAGCATACTGTTGACTCCTGTTCAGTTTGTTGTCCACCAGAGCCCTCAGGTCCTTTCCTGCAAAGCTCCTTTCTAGCTAGTTGGCACCCAGCCTGTACTGTTGCTGGAGTTACTCTGTTTCAGGTGCAGGATTTTGTGCTTGCCTTTTCTGAACTTCCTGAGATGTCTGCCAGAGCATTCCTCTGGTCTGTTAATGTCCCTTTGACTGGAGTTCTGCTGTCCAGTGTATTATTGACTGTTCCTGCACCAGCTTTGTATCATTGATAAACTTTCTGTGGGTGCCTTCTGTTCCATCTTATACTCCCCTGATAAAGATGTTAAAAACTTGATCCCAAAGGGGAGCCACTAGTAGCTGGTCACCAGTTGGACTTTGTGTGGCTCAATTTGTGAGCCCAACTGTGTGGTCAGTTGTCTGTCTGCGTTGTTGTCCACTTACCTAGTCCATGTTTTAACTATTTGGCTATAAGAACACTTATAGACTTATCAAAGTCACAGGCTTTGCTACCATTAAGGTAAGCAACATCCTCTGTTATTCCTTCCTTCACTGAGCCACTCAGCAAAGGAAGCTATCAGGTTGATCTTGGCATGATTTGCCATGCTAGCTGTTGCCAGTCACTTTCTTATCCTTCATGTGTCTGGACAGCAATCCAGGATGACTTGCTCCATAATCTTCTTGAGAACTGACGTTAGACTGACCAGCCTGTAGATTCCCAGGTCTTCCACCTTGCTGGTCTTCAAGATATATGTTATGACGTTAGCCTTTACCAATCACCAGGATCCTCTTCAAATCACCATGACTTTTCAAAGATGATACACAACAGTCTTGTAGTAACATTGGCCACCTTCCTGAACACCTCATCTGGAACTCATGTATATCCTATTTTCTAAAGTGTTTCTTAACTTTACCTTCCTCTATTGTGGGTACTGCTTCACTCTTACAGAATCTGCCTCTAGATTCAAGGACCTGGGAAGCTTGAGGACAAACCTTACCAATGAAGACTGAAGCAAAGAAGCCTCTGAGTATCTCAGACTTTTCCATGTCCCTTGTCACTAGGTTCTCTGCTGCATTGACCAGTGGCCGACAGTTTCCTTAATCTTTGTTTTGCTGCTGAAAGACCTTTAAAAAAAAAACCAAAAGCTTTTCTTGTTGCTCCTCAAAATTTTCTATTTTCAACTTCAGCTGAGCTTTTGCTTTATTAATTCCATCACTTGCACTTAGCCAGTGTTTGTATTTCTCCTAGTGTCCTGGTTTCAGCCAGGATAGAGCTGGTTTTCTTCACAGAAGCTAATGTGAGACTGTGTTTTGGATTTGGGATGAGAAACTGTTGATAATGTGCTGATGTTTTAGGTTGTTGCTGAGCAGTCAAGGACAGTCCAGCTTTTTGTGCTGGCTTGCCAGCAAGGAGGCTGGGGATGCACAGGAAGCTGGGAGGGGACACAGCCGGGACAGCTGACCCAGACTGGCCAAAGAGGTATTCCCTACCATACGACGTCATGCCCAGTACATAAACTGGAGTTGGCCGGGGGGCGGAAATCACTGCTCGGGGACGGGCTGTCGATCACTGGGTGGTGAGCAATTGCTGTATTGGGCATCACTTGTTCTTGTACATTCCTTTGTTGGTATTATCATTGTTGTTTCCTTCTTTCTTTCTGTCCTATTAAACCGTGTTTATCTCAACCCACGAGGTTTTTTTCCTAATTCTCTCCCCCGCCTCACTGTGGGAGGGGGAGTGAGTGAGCGGCTGCGTGGTGCTTAGTTGCCTGCTGGGGCTAAACCACGACACCTGGGTAGCCCATCACCCCTGCCATCTGCTGTGTATTTAATTTTTGTGTTTGAGCTCAGTCAAGAGTTCTCTGTTCATCCCTTCTTCTATCTTCCTTGACTTCCTGGACATTGGAAAGGATCATTCTTGTGCTTTGAGGCAGCTGTCCTTGAAAATCAGCCAACTCTGCTGGCACCCTTTGCCCTAAAGGGCATTATCCCTATAATCCTGCCAAGCAGATTCCTAACAGGCTAAAATCTTGCCTTCTGAAGTCCAGGGCTATAATTCTAGTGTTCTAGAATTCTAATTCTCCCAGAATCTTAAACTCTACTATGTCATGGTTGCTGCAACCAAAGTTTTTGTCAACTTTTGCATTGTTCTTGATTGTGAGTAACAGTTCCAGCAGAGCATTCCCCCTCGTCAGTTTGTTGATTGTGTGAGGAAGTTCATAGGATCACAGAAGTTGTCTTTGATGTGATCCAGAAGTTTCATGGATTTCTTGTGCTTTTG